CTTTGGATATCTTCTATTTTTCATCCCGTTTTCTTCACTTAGAATAAGAGTAGAAGTTTTGTCATTTATTTCTGTGTCCTCTGCACATAGAATAGTGCCTAGCACATAGTAAATTCTTATTAAGTATTTGTTGACTGATAGAATGAATTCATTTTTTAAACAGTATAATACCTTAAATATTTTATTAGCTTCTTTTTTAACTGAGTGGCAAGATATATGTATATATTCTTCCTTCTTTCTTTCCTTCACTCTGGGCTCCATTGACACACTTATTCACATTCTTATTTTATTAAATACATTTTCTCTCTTTTTTTTTTGTGGGGTTAAGGAGGATAACAAGTCAGTCACTTATTAGGAGAGGATTTAAGAAAAGCATGGGTGGATAGGGAGAGGAACTTTGACTTTAGTATACTGTGACTCACAGCACTTCACTCACTTCTCACCAAATATGAGAACTGTGTATATCCAAGCAACTATACCCAAAATTATAAACTCAATGACTTCAACATAACAAAAAATAAATTTTCTCAGCTGGGAGTGAGACCATAAAGGGTGTGATAACTGGGCTTTTATACAGTTAGAAATGACATTTCATCCAGATGTGTGTAATTATTTGTAATCGGAACTATTATGAGAAAAAATAGATTCTAATATTCCCCAAATTCTTAACATCTGAAAATCTTTTGATTTTTTTTTTGGCCTATAGTCCAATTATGTTTTAAAGGTTCTTAATTTATATAAAATCTTTCGTGACTGAGGTTAAAAAAAAATCAAGCCAATGTCATTAATATCCAAGTTACAAAACAGGAAGCCACACAGATGGGTGTGTGGCTCCTCCCTGTTCTGTTAAATGTGTTAATAGAAAATGGAAGTTTTTTATTTAAAAAACAACACCCAAATCCAGGAAATCATAAGCAGCAGATGGATGGATATAAAGTACTGGATCACTATATCTGGACACAGGCTCAACAGTATGTGGTGGGTCAAATTTCTCAAGGCTCGAGCTTGCTCAGATGAGGACACTGCACTAAATTACAAGTCTCTCCCAGCACTAAAGTTACTTAATTTTTTATCTTGAACATGCCTGAGCACATCAATGATCAAGATAAGGCAGAAGTTTGACCACCAGGATAAGGCAAAGTTTGACATTCTGTCTTTTGGCTTCCCCTGACCCCATGGGCTGTTTCTTTTGTCTCTTTTGCTGGCTTCTCCTCCTCTGCTCAGTTTCTAAGTGCTGGTGCATCTTCTAGGCTAGACCCAGGGCTTCTCTTCTCCTGTATTTCTGCTTACTACTTGGTGCTCTTATTCAGACACCCCCAAATTTCTATTTCCAGCTTATAAGTCTCTCCTGATCTCCTTGTATCAATAATCTATCTGACAACTGCACTTGGATGTTTTCTCAATATTTTTATTTCCAAGAAAGATGCCTTGATTCTCACCTTACCCCAAGTTTGCTTCTCTACATTTCCCAGTCTTTTCAACCTCAGTGAATTACACCACCATCCACCCTAGATGCTCAGAGCAAAACCTAGTATTCATGCTTAATTTCCCCTGTCTCACATTTCCTATTTTCACTCCTTCAGAAAGTCCTGTGAACAAAACCTCCAAAAAATAGCATCTGAATGTTGTCCACTTTTCTCCATCTCTATTACTACCCTTTTGGTTAAAAAATTACCATAATTTCCCATGGCACTTATTTGATTTCGAATGCTGTTTCTTTTTGTTGTTGTTGTTTTTAAATATGTTTTTTATTAATATTAGTGAGAGAGGAAGGCAAAGAGATAGAGACATCAATGAGAAGAAAACACCAATATGTTGCCTCCTGCTTTGAAGGCTAGGGATTGAGCCTGCAAAGCAGGCATGTACCCTGACCAGGAATCAAATCTGTGACCTCTTGGTTCATAAGTCAATGCTCAACCACTGAGCAACACCAGCCAGGCTAGAATGCTGTCTTTAAAGCTAAGGACAAATAGTCCCTTATTTGGTCTCCCCACCTTTATTACTGACCCAACCATCCTTACTCCCTTGAACACCCAGAGTGATTATTTAAAAAATGTCAGATTATTATTTTTTAATTCTCTAAATTTGCACTTGAAATAAAATCTCAGCTGTATGCCTTACAAATCCTGTATAATATGGCCTCTGCCTAGTCCCTCTGCCTTTCTTGCTCTGTCCCAACCTTCTCATGGCAGATACTTTCTTGTTCAGATATGTCTTCATTGCTTCTTCAAAGAAAGTTTTGTTTTCTTTAATTACATAGTCACTCTGTATCACACCATCCCATTGCAATGCTCTGTAAAGTGCTTATTGTTCTGTCTCTTTACTGGATCATAAACATGTTGTGAATAGCTAGTGATAAAGTTCTGCAGTTTCATTACTACAAGTTCCCTGGCATCTGAACAGTGCCGAGAAGGTTGTCAGTACATTTTTATTAAGTGAATGAATGAATGCCCACAGTTCCTTTCAAGGTACATGAATCTGTGCATTGAGGCCCTAGTCCTATATAATAAAAGGCTAATATGCAAATAGATCGAATGGTGGAATGACCAGTTGCTATGACATTCATTGACCACCAGGAGACATTTGCTTAACACAGGAACTGCCCCATGGTAGTTAATGCACTTCCACAGGGGGAGTGCTACCCATCCAGAAAGCAGGCTCACAGCTGGTGGGTGCAGTGGTGGTAGCAGGAGTGCTAAGGATGTCAGTTGGACATCCATCAAGGGCTCCCAGACTGTAAGAGGGTGCAGGCTGGGCAGAGGAATCCCCTACCCTGAGTGAACAAATTTCATGCACTGGGCCTCTAGTTGATAACAATTGAAAATTCTTGACAATTGTTTTGAAGATTCTCTATCCTTGCACATGCCATCTTGAATTGATTTATATTGTACTGGGTTCATAAATAGTTTGATTTCTTTATAAAGATATCAATCTTGTCCTCCATGATAGCAAGTAGAATGACTCCAAACAGGCCTCTGTCACAGATAAATTGAATTAGGATTGTTAACCCAACCAATTTTGGTCTAGGTTCAGCAATAGCATTATGATTCACACAAGCCCTGAAAATCTGGATGCTGAAATTGTATTTTTCTATAAAGTAATATTAATTTGACTTCCATGTATACCAAATCATTGCTTTAAAGAAACATAAAATGACAAGCATTAAATTTTTGTAAAAGGAAACATAATTTCAATTTAATTATTACTAAAGCAAAATGTTTTCATTTCTCTGAAAGGTGAAAACTTATTTTGGTTAAATATTAATTGGAATACTATTTTCAACTTTGAGGTTGGCAATTTCAATTCAATTCATTCTGTATCTACTGAGCATCTATAGTAGGCAAGGCATCGTGTTACAGGAAATTGAAAGAGCTTATAAAATACAGTAATGTGATGAGTGGAATAGAAAATAAATGAATAAAAAGTAAGGTTATTTAGTTTTTAGGATGGGGGAAGGGAAGGCTGAGAATAGGTACATTACATTTAGACGATCATGTTTTCAGAAAGGAAAAAAATAGAGGCAACGTACTGTGTGATATTAAAATATCAACAAGGAAAAGCTTATTGGTTCTAAGGGTTCTGACTCACTAGAAATAATTTCTGTGGGAACTTGCTTTTCATTCTTGAAAAATTTTAAAAACTTTCTTACCTAGTTTAAGTAGGTCTGTCCGTTAACAGAGATCTATGGAGGCCAAAACCTCATTATAAGTTTGGGAAACTCATGGTTTTCACTCAGACTCCAATGTAGTATGAGTATAATTATTCCAGTTTATGACTTAACCCATACTCGCTTCATAGATCATCCTATATAATAAAATTCTAATATGCTAAGTGTCTGGTCATCTGGTTGTCTGTTCAACCAATCAAATATAATATGCTAATGATATGCTAAGGCCTCTCAACCATTCGCTATGACATGCACTGACAGCCAGGGGATAGACAGTTGACTGGTTGACCAGTCAGTATGACATGCACTGACCACCAGGGAGCATACACACCGAGCAGTAGATTAGCTTGCTGCTGGGGTCCAGCTGATCGGGACTGAGCAAGACAGGTCACACACACCCTTGATCCCTCCCATAGTCCCTCCCTGGCTAGCCAACCTCCTGTGTCCCTCGTGGACCTGATTGTGTACTGGTGGGGTCTCTTGGCTTGGCCTATGCCCTCTCGAAATCCAGGCTGAGGGACCCCTCTTCCACCTCCCTCCCTCCGTGGGGTGTACAAATATCATGCAATAGACCTCTAGTCCATAATGTCACATAAAAGTGATAGTGAAGGATGCAACAGGCCCACTGAATCTATTTTGGTAAAAGCACCTCTGAACTTGCACATTATGGGAGACTAATAAATCAAATGAGTTGTGTAAAGCAGCTAGGCCCTGAGAATCACAGCTACTGGTAATGATAAAGCTTGGGGAAAGAAAGGCATGGGGAACATGAGCATAATCTTTAAATAGTTACACTTTCCCAGAAATGAATTTTAAACTGACAATTATACATGGGCAAATTTATAGGTAATGGTTGAAACTGACAGAGAGGCTATTTTTTTTTCTTAATAGAAAGATCATGAAATGCTGGAAGTTGGTGATAGCCACATTTTTAGAATTCAAGTGTAGACTGCTAGGGAAGAGCAGGTTGCCTGTAGTGCCCCAAATTGAACTCTACTAGAGTCTCAATAGGAGCAGTACCACCTCCCTGAGGGGACTTTGAAGTTTGCAGAAATGTTTTTAATAGTTACCACAGAAGCGAACTGGACTTTTGTGAACAGGACATAGAAATGCTAGATGTCCTGCCATGATGAAGAATGCTCCAAACAGAAAAATTGTCCATATCCAATGTATCATGTGATTTTCTGATGCCATACCAGAATAAACCAATTATAAATATAATTGCAAGTTTATATTTTACTGTGTAATACTGGACCATGCTAAACCAAGAAATGCAAATGCTAGTTTCCCCAGCATGATCACTTTCACACTCACACCTGTGCACTCATCTCACCTAGCTTGACAAGGCGGAGCATGGAGGTATTACTTCCTCTTTCAGTGCACGCAGTTACGGAGAGATTGTAGATATCTCCTGGAGGCAGGCTGAGAATTGCAGTCATGACATTGCGTGTTACCTGCAAGATCATCGAATTCGAGGGTTTAACCTTCTGATCAAGTTGAACTCTAATACCATTCTAAACAATTACAGGACTATCACAGACATGGTCTCTCTGTTCTGTGCTGCAATCTACAATTGATTACAATCTTATGAATAAATTATTTCCTCTAAAAATGATATAAATTTTTTATCTGAGCCAAATGCAAAGTAGCTCTAAATATGTATAATACATATCAGAGAATTTTTGCAGTTAATTCCCCTGTTTGGAACAGGTATCACTGATATTTTCCCTGCTGGGCTGTTCCTGATAGGAATATTTCTCAGCCCATAAACACTCAGAAGAAACATAGCCATATCAGGATACTTGGCTTCTTAACTGAAACTGTATTTCCCAGAACTTCCCTGTAGCTAGAGGACAGCATGTGATCCAATTCTGACCAATGGTTTGTAAATAGAAGTCATGTGGGCAACTTATAGTTTTATTCACACTGTGTAGGTACCGGGCTTTCATGTCCTGTCTTCCCTGCATAGGTGATTCTAATGATAATGAAGGGTCACACTGTGCAGATGAGGCTGATATAGAGTAACAGCTGGAGCAACAGAGAGAGAGCATCTGGACCTTGGATGCTCCTTTATGGTACAGAAGAGGTGCCCTGTTAGTCCTGGGCTAGCAGGAGAGACACACAGACTTTGCTTTTCTTTGAGCCACTATATTTTTCTTAAATTAAAATCATTTACTCTGTACCCTTAACTAACATAATGTCAAAAAGCTTATTATACCAGGAGAAAAGAAATCAGCAATACTAACATACCCAAATATGTAGGTGTTGGGGGATATAAGGACAAAATATTGAAATTCCTTAACTATGGTTTTCTTAAAAATGTTTGACATCCTGAAGAAAACACCCAAATCATAACTTTCCTAAGTGAAATTCATAGTAAAAACTATTTCAGCTAACTATTAAAGATTGAAAAGTAAGCTCTATTAAAAAAGGAATTTAATTTTTGTTCACTATCCTATCTCCAGAGCATAAAGCAATGCCAATAGGCCTACAAGCATTTGCTTAATGTCTCAATACATTTTGCTTAATGGTTTTCCATGGTTTATGCAAATGAATGTTCAGATGCCCATACTTGGATTCAAAGAAACATACACTCTTTTTAATTTTCTTCTTTCCTTCTGCAACCACCATCCAATGGAGCATTCTAGAATGGGAGAGATCAGTTGTGTCATCCCCATATGTCCAACTGATATATAACAGACTGTTGAAATATTCCACAGAAGTGATTTCTGGAGCAACTGGGGCTATAAGATAGAAAAGAAGAACACTTTAGTATAAGAGATTACTAATCATTAAAATGCTTATTCATACAGCATGAAATCCCATGTAAAGTTATAAAACTAAAATTCACACCATATGATGGTCCTGGGTAGACCTGGGACACTCAGTACCACAGGTATACAGTACAAGGTGGGCATTTGTTTCCTAGGACCTCACCTTACAGCTCAGATGCATGAAAGCCCCATCTGAACCTGAGGGTATCAAGGTCTTTTATGTAAATTTCAGTTACAAAATTCCTAAAATGTTCACTTGTTTCGGTATGCTTGTTGCATCAATAAATTAGTCATTAGGCTTTGGCCAACTTATTTTCAAAAAGGTACTAGAAGCTCTTTTCTATAAAAAATACATCTTTTTTTGTTTTTGTTGTGACACAGCCAAGGTGTTTATGGGAATAAAGGACAGTAGGAGTAGAGGAACAGAAAAGAAATATTGTTTCCATAAAACACAAGGCAGCATCATTGACAGTGTTTTAGTCCAGTGCTTTGCAGAAGGTAGGCTTTTAATAAATGCCTGTGGAAGGATTTTTTTTTATCATAATGCAAAGTTAAATTCTAACACTGACTTTATTAATGTATTTTATATTTTGATACATTTAAACTTTAAGAAAATTTCCAGTTGGGAAGAAGAGCTCATCATAAGCTTTATAATATATGGCTTGTGAAAGCATATTTTCATTATTTTTAAAGTACATGATAATTCTGAAGATTTGAATTTAAATTCCATGGGAATGGTGGTTCAGAGATAGGCAAGATTTCTGTTCCATGATGCAACAACAACAACAAAAAAAAACAATTAAAATATTTGGAGGAGAATTTCTACAAATCATAAAGGATTATTTTCTTTAATTTTCTATTGATATCCCATACAAAAATTCATCACTAATGATGCTTTGATATAATTCACTGTCTAGATTTGTGGTATATAGAGTAAAATTACACATTTCTGTGTCATGCGAAATAACAGTAGCATCCTATATAATAAAAACCTAATATGCTAAGTGTTTGCTGGTCCATTCCGCAAATTAAAGTGAATAAGCTAATGATATGTTAAGGCCGCTCAACCACTCACTAAGACATTCACTGACCACCAGGCAGTCAACTGATCAACCAGTCACTATGATGTGCACTGACCATCAGGGGGCAGATGTTCCGACTGGTAGGTTAGTTAGCTTGCTGCTGGGGTTCAGCCTATTGGGATTGAGCGAGATGGGCCAGACATGCCCTGGAGCCCTCCCACAGTTCCTCCCCAGCTGGCTAACCTCCCACATCCCTCCCTGACCCTGATCATGAATTGGTGGGGTCCCTTGGCCTGGCCTGTGCCCTCTTACAATTTGGGCTGAGGGATTCCTCCCCCCCAACTCCTGCCCAAGTGCAGAAATTTCATGCACCGGACCTCTGGTGTCGACATTTTTTACAATAAAATCTTGAAATATCAACAATGTATCTTAGCAAATAACACAAACCCACACCATATTTCAGAATATTCTAATAAAGGATATTAACCCTGGCTTCTTTGTGGCCTCTTAATATATTCCCAATACTCCATTGTATGCAACTACCTATACTTATGTTTCTTAAAAAAATATTTTCTTATATTCTAATTATCATGAGGACAAAAACATACTTAAAATTTCAAACCCAGAAGCACAGATCTCCCTTTCACAGGTACAAGATCTTCAGATTTTTATATTCCATGTTGTTACTTTAAAATCCAGCATAGTGCTGAAGGACCACAAGATGTCACTATTTGTTTATTAAGCATTATTTGGTACACCAGCATAATTATGAACTTGACTTGCAGATAAATTGAGGTCCTGATAAATCACACCTTATAAAAATATTTTTTCCTGTTTTTTTATACTACACAATTTGGCAGTTTGAGTCACAATGGAAAAGCATGGGAAAGTGAAGTTTGTGATCCCTATTTGCTTTAAAATTAAATGAGAGAAGAAAAAATGAGAATAAAAATAAATCAGCTACCATTACGTTTGAATAGTGATTTACATTAGATAATTTAATTCTCAACACTATTCATGGAGTATTGTTATGTCCACATTATAGATGTTGAGAATTGAGACCTGTGTCAGATAAGACTATGGACTGCCAATGTGAGCATAATTTAATAGTTTGTCCCAGGAAAAGACAGGAAATTACCAAAGATCAATTTCTTGACGATAATAGACTGCCCACTCAGGCAAGTAGCTTGCTAATTAACCATAATTACGTATCCAGACTTGCTTTGTCAACCTAATTGTTACATCATGACCTTTGCCCAATCCCAGTAGGATCCCAGTTTTGAAAGGTACGCCAGACCACTTGGGTCCAGAACTATGAATCCTATGAATGTTTCATGTCCCATGTGCCCCGCTGAGACACTGCAATGACTTCAAGTTCCGTCTCACTGTGGAACCAAATGATCAATTGACTGGTTGCTATGATATACAATGCCCTGAGCTTGGCTCTCTTAGCCAGATGTGAGGTAATATTCTGAGTGTTACCAGTGAGAAAATAGAAGTCTAGGATCATTGAGATAATTCTAAAGCCAGAAATTAGCAGAGCCAGGTCTGTTCAATCAAGTGTTCAGATAGGAAGTCTGGGCTTTTTCCAGTCCAGACATATCTATCTGAGAAGAGAAGAATATTCTCAGTGATTTAATACTAATAAAGTTATTGATACAATGAAGTTTAATTATAATTAAATATGTAATTGTTGATATAGTCAACAGCATAACACAAAGCTTCTTAAATAATTGGTATTTTCTCCTTTTTTGAGCCAATGGGGGATTCTAGACATTAGCTAGTAAGGAAAAGTGATAAACTATATAAGTAAATTGTGTAAGAATTCACATAGAATTAATTTCTTTCTTTTGTTTTTGAATTTATAAATTTCAATAAAACAAAGCTAGAGGTCCAGCGAGGAAAACATTTTGCCAAAATTATTCTTCATCTAAAAATATTTTTATATTTTCTTTTCTTAATACAACTCTAATTACAGTCTTAGAGTTCACCCAAAAGTTTCTGAAAAACCGTAATTCAAACAACCAGGGTTAATGTCTCTTTTATGAATTTCCCCTTTTCATCGTCACCTCTGATCACTTTTATCATCTCTGCCATATGATGATATACTACACAGTTTAAGGCTCTGAGATCTAACATGAACATTTTTTTAAAGTTACTTAAACTTTGTGTCATGAATTTTTGCTAAGCAGCTTATTTAATTAAGAATTAATAATCTCACTATATAAAAGCCTAAGCAACCAAATGATCATTTGACTGGTTGCTATGATATACACTGATCACAAAGGGGCAGATGCTCAATGCAGGAGCTGCCCCATGGTGGACAGTGCACTCTCACAGCCAACCTCCCAAAGCCAGCCAACTTTCCGTAGTCCCTCTCTCTACACTAGCTTGCCCTCCTGCCCTGTCCCCCATCTGCAGGGACACTACCTGTGCACGAATCTGTGCACTGGACCTCTAGTAGATAATAACAGAGAATAGATATTAGTATCAACCCCATTTTTCACATTAAAAAACCACCAACACTTAGAAAATTTAATTGCTCAAGGTCATATATGGCATTCAGCAGAGGTATGATCCAAACCCAGGTCTACCTGTCTCCATGGGCTTTTAACTCCTGCAGTGGACAACACTGTAGTCAGCCTGGGCTTTGATGGTGTAATTAATAAGGACATGGAGGCCCTATAGCAAATACAGCCATCAAATGGGCCAAAGCAGCTGAGTGCAGTCTGAAGCACATCTCTTTTCTGGTCAATTTCAAACAGGGGCACACCACACAAGGACAGTGATTCAGAATAAAAATGAATCAAAGGCAGAAACTCAGGATAAAAATAATATTTTAAATTTAAAGGCCATTATTTAAATAAATAATAATTTTCCAGACTCAAGCGTATGATCTTCCATGACACCAGGGCTCAATCGTCCTGAGTGAGTGACCAGCACTTTTTGGAAATGTGTCTCTTCAGAACCTTCCGCAGATAGTATTCTCTCCTCAGAAACTGTTCCCCGCACACCACTCACCTGTAATGAAGCTGATGGTGGAACTGTCACAACAGCTCAGTTCTGGGTCTCCCCATGTCACCATGGTCACTCGGAAGTTGTAGTACCACGCTGGCAACAGATTAGCTATTCTCTAAAAAAAAAAAAAACAAGGAGACAAAAGACTAAGGGACAAAATCATATATTTTTAAAATATAATTATTTCTATTTGGCCATGAAAAGAACTAATCAATAATTTTTATTTTATATTCTGTGCTTTGTCATATTCACAAAATTCCCCACTAAAAGCACACACATACAACCTCTTTTCGGAATGAGGTGAGGTTTAAATAAAAGGCTATACAAAAATGTAATTTAAAAACGTGATTCAAAGGTATAGAGTCAGATGCTTCCAATATTGGTCTCATTTTACAGTTTCCTAAGTTATATTACAGAAGTGAAATAGGACTTGTTTGCAAGTGACTGTAGATACACGTCTCCCTATTTCTGCGCCAAATGACCTTTCATAACTCTGTATTCTCCCAGGTTGGACAATAGGCATGTGCTCTTAATGGGTGACAATTATAGGAGTCATCAACTGGGTAGAGGGCAATTGTGTACTTCACATGTGACCTGTAAGGAAACTGCACTTCTGCAATGATTTAAGGTTTAGAGAGAGCAATTTTTACTGGCTCTCTAAGGGCCTGACACTATGGGTACTTAATCGTTTTGTCAATGTCAAGAATCATCATCATTACAGTTAAGCAGTGTCAACTAATTATTAAATGCTGAAAGGTGATCTCCTGTGTTTTTCTCCTCTGGAGCAGTAAGAAACAATAGCGCTTGGTAGCTTTACTAAAATATAGATTAACAAATAAACTAGGGTCGAAAGCCAGTTGCACACAATTCTTTCTTTCGCTCTCAAAACAAACAACTAAAATCAATCCTTAAAATAACCAAAAAAACCTTGAGAGTAGCAAGCTGTGTATATTTACAAAGTGGTCAAATTTGCAGATACCTTTTCCAGACATTAGGTACGTATAGGCACATCTATTTACACAGGGAAGTGTGTCAGATGACTAAGGAAAGATTACCACTGATGCAGTTAAGGAGGCAGTCGCTGCTATTTCATAGTAGGTTGTCCACTCTGATGTCATGGTTGTGGGATTGAAATAAAACATTTCAACCACATATTTCCTGAACACTCCTAAGTAGGGTCTGGTCCAGCTCAAAACCACTGCTGTGGGGCCCAAGGGGTACAGCATTAAATCCTTTATTCCGGTTGGAACTAAAGAGGAAGGAGGAAGGGGGAGTGAAAAGAGAAAGCCAAGAAGGAATGTTTAATATCATAGCAATGGCTTCCAACGTCTACTTAACAACCAAGGTTTTTGCTCTTTTGATGTAATCATTGAAAACATATTTGCCTCTGATTCCCAACCCCCACTCCAAATAGTAAATGCTAAAGATGCCCTCCAAATAGTAAATGCTAAAGATGCAATAGTTTATTACTCTGAAGGTAGGATATTGGGTGTACAAGATTGGGCCTCCCATATATGAGGATAATGACTTGAGCCTGGACATTGTAACCCATCAAATAACACTTTGATAATGTCATTATTCTTATACCTGGTGACTTACCAATGGCAAATGTCACAGGATCTGAAGGTGGTCCAATCAAAGGGCCTTTTCTTAGGTACATCACAACCTGGTATTGGGCACCAGGAACCAGATTTTCAATAACAGATTTGCTTGAGTTCACCTTTGAACCAGACAGCCAATAAGATCTCATTAGTGCTGAGCTTTTAGAATGGGACACAGAGGCTAAAATTGTATTCAGAGACTCTTTGTGGAACCACAGAAGCCTTTGGAATCCAGAATCTTTTACTCATGCCCGGGAAGGTCAGATTTCAAAATTAGGATGATTTATAGTGTATGTGAACACTGAAGGAGGCCCAGAACATTCAGAGTCTATGGCTGGATTTAGTAAGCCCCGTGAAATGCTTTATACCCATCAGTGTTAATTGTAACTGTGTACACGAGAGACACATAAACCTCTAACCATAATCAAATCAGCAATACCGTGAGGAGAGTCTGACATTCTAAATTGTAGTGTCACCCGATGGCATACGAAGATCAGTACAGGAATGCCTTTAGTCCCTTGTCACTGAGAAGCATATAATATCTAATTATAGAGATGGAAATGACTTCAGAAATTAGCCAGTCCAAGTCTTTTAATAGATTAGAAAAGGAAAGTGAGAGAATGCCCAAGGTCACATATTTAGATTCACTGCTGGGACTAGAAGCCTCGTGTGTGACCTCTAATCCACACTATAGGCGAGTCATGGCTGAGCATAGAGATATAACAGAAGTTCTTTTTAAAATTTTATTTAAATTCTTTATTGTTGAAAGTGTTACATATGTTTCCTTTCCCCCCATTGACCTCTTCCCGCCTGCTCACCCCCCACCCCCTGCACCAGCACATGCCCTCACCCCCTTACTGTCTGTGTCCATTGATTATGCTTTATACTAGTATATGCAACAAGTCCTTTGGTTGATCTCCCCACCACCACCACCTCTACCCAACACACACACTGCGCTGCCTTCCGTTTGAGTTTTGTTGTCTGTTCAATGCTTCTATGTCTCTGTATCCATTTTGTTCATCAGTTTACTAGAGGCCTGGTGCATGAAATTCATGCACGGAGTGGGGTAAGGGTTATCCCTCAGTCTGGCCTGTGTGCTCTTACTATTGGGAACCCCTGGGTAGGATCCCTAGGCTTGGCTGGTGATCAGGGCCTATCCAGGCTTTCCTTCCCCTGGCTGCCAAAGCTAATCCTGCCCCGGCCACTGCCACTGCTTGCCATTGGTGTGGTGCTGCCCCTCCTCCCCTGCCACTGGTTGCCTTTTTTTGGGGGACAGGTGTGGGGTGCAATAGCTTGGCTGTCCCGGGCCTCTCTCTGTAGGGGGATCAATTGTGGGGCTCTAGGCTCTGTGAGAGGCCCCACCCACCCAGCAGGGGCTCCACGATCAATCTGCACAGAGGGTGGCCTGGGCCTCCCTCTTTGGGTGAATGATCATGGAGTCCCCCCCTCAATTGCCCCACAAAGGGTGGCCTGGGCCTCCCTCTGCCTGCCAATTGTGGGATGAACGGCAGGGCCCTCAACCAATCACATCACACCAGCCTTGGCTGGCCTGGCACCAGTGTGTGTCAGATGGATTCTGGTGAGAACACCTCCTGGATTCCTTTGGTCAATGGTCACGTGACTGTAGGTTGGTTTTTGAGACTTTTTGAACTGATGTTTTCTGATCTGAAAATGCATGTGCGTGTGTGTGTGTGTGTGTGTGTGTGTGTGTGTGTGTGTGTAGTGAGATAATGGATGATGAGGTTAACAATAACAAAATCCTCAAAACATTCTTGTAGTAATTGAAATAACACCTAGCTCAATGGTTTAGTTCCCACTATTTTAAATATTGGTCTTCTTGCCTATAATCTTTAATAGTTTCATGTTTGCACTTTACAAAGGTGCTATCAAAGTGCACTTAGACCAGCACTTTTTGGATCATTCATAATGTATATTATCTATCTATACCTTTAACCTTCTGATTCAATGTAAAAAAAATAGATAATTTGCACATTAGTTGGGGCAAGGAAGAATGTACCTTGGAGCAGTCAAGTTCTAGGTCACGTTCTGTAAGAGAAAAACATTTTTCTATCAATGCCCAGAGCCAATCATCTTCGGTGTGCCCAGGGAAGGAAGCTTATAAGCTGCGCAGTGAGTGATGATGAACAGTTAATTGGTTCAGCATATTTACTCCTTAATTTAATTCAAGTCAAGAGGTGGCCTCAGCTTTCAGCGTGGCTTATCTCAGCATGCTAAGACCTTCTAGTGCTCCAAAGACTACATTAGATCTCGAATTCACCTTATCAATTAAAAAATTCTCCCTTTGAATTTCACTAACGCTTGACGTGGCATAAATGGAAGCAACCCAAATAGCTTTCATATAGCAGGCATCTTCTCTGAGTATTATATTTCCAGTGTACTCCACTTGAATTTATCCTTTTTTTTTTTTCCTTTAGGGAGGTAAGTATTGTGTTTGTAAGATACCAAGAAATGGTAAATTTGATCTAATGAAATAATAAAATGGAATAAGTAATAAAATGAAGTACTTAGACCAGGTGTTAGGAAAATGCTATTGGGCTCCAGCTCCCGGTTGGTATTCAGGGCCTTGGAGAGCAAGGCCTGATCTCGGCCACTTTGCTTGGCTTCCTCAGGGCTGCTGACAGGTGTGTGTACACAGCTGGGAGCTGCTCCCAGGACTGGTCATCTGCTCATGGTCTCCACCTGCCCTCCCTTGTGCTCAGCTAACACCTAACACCCTACAAAACTCTTCTCAGTGGTGATTATAGAGGGTTTTTTTTTGTTTTTGTTTTTTTACTTTATAGCCCTTGAATTTTTGAATTATGTTTTTCAGTGAACTTGCATTACTTTTAAAGTTAAAATAATAAGGAAAAAAAAGAGAGAGAAAAAGTAAAAGAAACAAAAACTGCCCCAAACTTTCTCTCTGGTTATCCACCAGTTTCCAATTCCTCTCGCCTCAATCACTATTTACTCAGGCCTGTTTCTGCAAATAGCTTCCTGGTGATTTTCAGCTTAGGCCTTGTTTTAAAATCTGCAGTAATTATATGCTCAGTTATCCATTGTTCTTCTAGATTATAAGCTCTGCAAGAGCAGGACGTGTAAAAATATCTAGATCCCCAATATCTATCCTAGTCCCTGGTACATCGCAGGTGCTCAGTAAATTCTCCTGCATGAGGAATGAAAGAGAAAGGAGACGACCACCCTAAGAGGGAAAAAGAAGATGACTGTGACCCAAAAGCCATGCACACTCTTCCCTGCTCCTGTCCGGGCTCACGGAGCCCCAGAGACCTGGGCCCGGCTGCTCCGAGGCCTCTCGCATCGCCTGCCAGGCTGCGCTGCAGCAGGTGAATGAGCCACAGCCAGTCTCTTCCTTTACCTGCGAGCAGTACTGCTTTTCCAGCCTCTGGCTCTCCTTTTGTTTCTGGCAGGTGAGGGACACCACAGACACAATGGTGCCATTGTAGTTCTCTTGGGAGGATGTCCAGGACATCAAGGCGGTGGTTGAGCTTAGAACATGGACACTCACATGTTGGGGCTTCTCGGTGAGTTCCTCAATCCACTCTCCTGAAGGACCTGGCGGTTTCAAAGGAGAGCACAAGGCACGTGTCACCCTGAGATGGTTGAGACAACAGGCAAGTTTTAAAAATCATGTTGTTTCCCCTTTTCCCTAAAAGAGCTATTCCAAGTAAGATTGGCCGCCTAGCTGAGCATTGACCTATGAATCAGGAGGTCATAGTTGGATTCCCGCTCAGGGTTGTGGGCTTGATCCCAGAGTGGGGCGTGTAGGAAGCAGCCAATCAATGATTCTCTCTCATCATTGATGGTTTTTCTCTCTCTCTCCCTCTACCTCCCTCTATGAAATCAATAAAAAATATATTTTTAAAAAATATATTTTATTGATATTTTACATAGAGGAAGGGAGAGAGATAGAGAGCTAGAAACGTCGATGAGAGAGAAACATCAACCAGCTGCCCCTTGCAAACCCCCAACCGGGGATGTGCCCGCAACCAAGGTACATGCCCTTGACCGGAATCGAACCCGGGACCTTTCAGTCCGCAGACTGATGCTCTACCACTGAGCCAAATCGGTTTTGGCAATAAAAAATATTTTTAAAACACATATTAAAAAAAAAAAAAAGATTGGCAGCCTGATTTGTCTTGACATCGTCTGCTCAGCTGTATCCGGCACTGTATCCCTCATCATTGACCTAAGCAGCCGCAGCAGCAAAAACAGCCCTAGTGAGAGATAGAAGCTTCATTTCCATTATGTGCATCTGAGTTAATTCTGGAAAGTTCTTCACTGAAACGAATTTCTCTTTTAACGAAGAGTGGATGTAGCAGTGTGACATGTCATCAGTGTTGATAATTCCTTTGTTGCTAGGATCTTTGGTCTCTAGAAGTAATTACTTTGAGATTCAAACTTGCTTCTAATATAGGTTTGTAAAAAAAAATAAAAATCCAAATTTGGTAACAGTAGGATAGAAGAGGCAGGTGTGACTATATTAGAGAAGAAATGGGCAGCAGGCTGGCTCAATTATAGAAGCTGACTAAAACGTGGGGATAATTTGTGGACACGGTGGATTCCTCATGATAAAATATCTCCATAGAATTTCTCCCTTAGTTTTGTTCTCTCGAGTTTCTAAAGGGGTGATTAGTACTGTGTCTGACTCATAGAAAGGACTCCAGAATTATTTAGGTGATTATTACCTACAGAAATTCCCCATTGCAATTCCAATATGCAAACTTTCTTTTATTTGCTTAGGAAATATTTCCCCATTTTTTTAATTTTTTTTAAATATATTTTATTGATTTTGTACAGAGAGGAAGGGAGAGAGATAGAGAGTTAGAAACATCGATGAGAGAGAGTCATTGATCAGCTGCCTCTTGCACACCCCCTACTGGGGATATGCCCGCAACCAAGGTACATGCCCTTGACTGGAATCGAATCCGGGACCCTTCAGTCCCCAAGCCAATGCTCTATCCATTGAGCCAAACCGGTCTTGGCTATTTCCCCATTTCTTAATCGAAGCTGTATTCCTAGGCTGGGACCCTGGACAGGAAAGGGAGCAAGTGGGATGCTAGTCGCAGATTCACCATAACTGGGGCAGGGGAAATAATGATCATGGCAAAGAGATATAGCATGCATTACCAAAGAGGCTCTATTTTGAGTCTATATATGTTTATAAATTTAATCCCTTAATTTCCATAGCAAACCTGTGAGACAAGTACGAGTATTAATCTCAGTTTTAGACGAGGTAACTAAGGCAGATGAAGGGTAAATGAGCTGGCATTCACACACAGGAAGTCTGGTTCTAAACCCCATGCAGTAGCACTATAAATATTTGTTGACTGTACAACAGAATTAATAAATAGGCAAATAGTATAATCCCAGGCTAGGATTTGATAGTTTGGTACCAGAAGCAAGATGTATACACAAATAAAATACATCTAGAAAAATACCACATTTGTGTTGTGTGCTATGAAACAGTAGAAACTCAGGGAAGGGAAGAGCCAGCATGGCCAGAATAGTTGAGGGAGTTTTCTGGAAGCTGTTCACACGTGCAGGGGACTCTATGAGCAGATGAGGAAATGTTTGGGTTAGTGGAACATTGTTAGCCTCATGGGAAGAACTGAATAGTAAACCTTGTTTGCATTCTCGAGGGATCTCACGGCAAAGATCTCGCATCGTGAGAAGCCGTGGAAGGCAGCTGTGACTATTCTCTCTGCGTGCCTTATGGAGAAAGCAGGCCTCCATCAGAGGCGACATTTTTGGTTTCTTAAGTAAAAGTTTAAATGGGACATTGTCAACATGTGTAAGCTACTAAATAAACTGATTTCTTCCCTCTGCCTTCCTCCTGTTTCCCCTGCCCTCCCCACCCCTCCACACCCTTGAGGATTATTTGGTGAAGGTGTATTTTGCCTTTGCAGATGGTGATAAAGTTATATGGTGGTCATTCTTTTTGGAGAGCCATGTTTACCCATTCCCTTCTGTTCCTTCTTTCTGCTGATAAGAGGCACATTAACGTCCCAATGAGCTACAAATTGATTTTTAGCCTCTAAATTTCTGGTAACTAGAGTCAGATTACATAAAAATGTTACAAACATGCACCATTTGTGCAACTTTTATTTTTTATTTACTTTTAAAAATAGATTTTTATTGATTTCAGAGAGGAAGGGAGAGGGAGAGAGAGATAGAAACTTCAATAATGAAAATCTTTGATCAGCTGCCTCCTGCACACCCCCTACTGGGTACCAAGCCTGCAAAACGGGTATGTGCTCTTGATCAGAATAGAACCTGGGACTCTTCAGTTTCTGACATTATCCACTGAGCCAATCCATCTAGGGCTTTGTGCAGCTTCTAGAGGCTACTTATTGCTCTGCTATTACTTTTTTCTCTAATCCTTTCCTGAGGATATTGTTCCCCATTGATTTTTAAAGAGAGTGGAAGGAATAATAGGAAAGAAAGGATAGAGAGAGAAAGAGAAACGAAAGAGAAACAGAAGAGAGACAGAGAGAGGGATGAGAGAGACATATTGATTGGTTACCTCCCAGAGCCAGGAATTGAACCTGCAGCCAAGGTATGTGCCTTTGACCAGATGTTGAACCCTAGACCCTCTGATTCATGGGCCAATGCTCTAACTACTGAGAAAAAAAAAACATGGGCCAGTGCTTGGCTATTACTTTTTACAGAATCAGTAGAAGCCATCCTGAGATTTGACACTGGGGCTTTTAGGATGCTCTTGCTTTGTCTTTTGTGCCAGGTTTATGGTGACCACATAGGTCTCCCTAAACTTCAACCTTTATCTGTCTTTTGCGCTCTATAAACTCAACATTCTAATGATACTTTTCACGCAGTCCAACAGTATCAATTGTCATTACAACCTTAAACAAAAGTCCTATTTTCCAAACTGTGTGTTCATGTCCTTTGAGGGTTTGTTGTGCCTAGTGTGAAAGATCAGCTTAATAAATGTGCAATTAGGCCTAGCTGGTCTGATTCAGTAGACAGAGCATCGGCCTATAGACTGAAGGGTCCCAGGTTCTATTCTGGTCAAGGCCACATGCCCCAGTTGCCAACTAAAACCCCAGTACAGGGTGTTCAGGAGGCAGCCAATCAGTGATTCTCTCTCATCATTTATATTTCCATCTCTTTCTCCCTCTCCCTTCCTCTCTCTGAAATTAATAAAAATATATTAAAAAAATAAATGTGCAATTATCACAATAATAAAAAAGTCCTAAATTAAATCTGTAGGTTTGCGACTATTAAACATACATATATTTCCTCTGTTCTCACCACTTCTTGGATTTGGGACTCTCTTGACATTGAAGAATTCTCAGGGTATCCAAGGTGTGATGAATAATTGATGCCTGAGCATTATTAATCTCAACAGTTCCATTGTTCTAAGCGCAAAACCGTTTCTTTGGTACTTACTGATATAAAAACTGAGTGATTTTGCTGACTGACTTTTTCGAGTTTCACAAGATCCTGAGGAACTAAAGGTTGTCACAGATAACTTATACTTCCCAGGCTCCTTCAGTTCTGTAACAAATTCCTGTGCTTCTTCAGCCACTGTCAAATGTTCAGTAAAGTTTTCTAAATCGTACATAAAAAGAGAAAATATATAAATGGATAACTGCAAAGGCCTTGACTACAGACAAGTTAATTCATTAAAAATGCATATTTTTATATTGTCTTCTTTCTTTTGTCAAATTCAATTATACTTCTAAGCTAAAGGTACAATAATTAAAAGATGACAAAGGGTTCGAATTGATTTTCACAATAGTTTTAAATAACCAAACGACAATATGGTGTCCAAATCAATAAAACGAGGGTCAGTATATACAATGTATTTTTAAGTATGGGTTCCCAACAAAACTACATTTGCAAAATAGAAATAGAATGTTAGGAGATAGCAATAATTAGCTCTGTCATCCATATATAAGGGCTAAAAAGTAAACAGCAACAAATATATTGTAAGTTCCTTGTGGTAGCATTAAATATCCAGAAATGCCTTATAATATGTAAAAAAAATATTTCTAGTTAGAAATAACTCCTGTGGATATATTTTCTGAGACTTGTAATATTTTTCTTTTATCTGTTTGCTTCTAGAACTTAAAATAAAAAATAATTTTTATATTGCTTCAAAGTCCATCTCCTGCTGTTTATTACTTTCTTTGAAGTTACCATCAGTTGGTGATTTTAATAGCCTTCCACAGAACACAGTGCGGTCAGATAATAGCACATTTACAGAAATAGGTATTAAAAAAGAATTCTGAGTAATAAGACCCTATTTTCCATAGGATATACTGAGGAACAGACAAATAAAAGCCAGAATAAGAACACTTAAAAAACAATAACAAAAAACAAGTGATTCCAGGCAACTGTTACAACTTTTGACTCAGATAATTGGAAATGACTATGGATTTTAGTTTTATACGGTAACTCGGTATGGTTTACTGCTCTATCATCTAGTTTAGAGGAATCCACAGATTTTGTATCTCATTCTACTGAATGAAATGGGGGAGGGGGGAACACTATGTCTTATATAAAATGACATGGTCTTAATGCCCTAATCTGAAACTACAATTGTCATTGTAACTTCAACTTTTGACAACATGGCAACCTTTACAGCCCATTCTATGAAACTGGAAAGCATACAATGAAGTATGTTATTGTACAAACGAGGCAAACAATGAATAAGTAGAATAAGCTACCAAACAAAAATTGAAACTTAGGAACTAACCAAACCTGTGGATTCTCATCCAATGTGCTCATTTTGTTTCCTAGACTCAGCTCACACTGGATGCTTAATTACATTCCTGCCTTTCTTTATCATTTCTCTTTCTCTATTAACTGTCTCCCATCGGACTTTCTTCCTGAACTTAAATTTGAGAATGTTTCCATTTATTTCCCTTTGATTGTATCCCTTCTTATTCCTTCTGATTGCACAGTGCTTTACCTTCTCTTTTTCTAAAAATGTATTTTTATTGATTTTTTTACAGAGAGGAAGGGAGAGAAATAGAGAACTAGAAACGTCGATGAGAGAGAAACACCGACCAGCTGCCTTTTGCACCCCTCGTATCGGGGATGTGCCCGCAACCAACGTACATGCCTCTGACCGGAATCGAACCTGGGACCCTTCAGTCCGCAGACCAACGCTCTACCACTGAGCCAAACCGGTTTCGGCTTTACCTTCTCTTTCTATGTGGATGTGGAATCCGTCAAAGGCAGTGGGTGGCTTTGGTGGCAACCAGCTCAGTATCATCTGCACCGGGAATGATGAGGAGGAGCCTGACGTTGGCTTCTCGGTCTCGCTGAGTGTGTCGTTTTCGTATCCCAAGGGAAGCACCCTGGCAAAGTCGTCTTCGCCTTCCGGAGTGGCAGACATACTGTCCCACCAGTATGGCTGGGGGGTAGTTTCATAGTCACTGCTGTTAACATCAGGCCAACCAGAAGAAATGTTGCCAGAGGGAGTGTCAGGAGTTTCATCTGTAAAACGGAGGAGTTTGTCTCTTCCCGCTGTGTCTTGTGGCCTCAGGAAGGAGTCCTCTGGGAAACTGCCACTCTCTTCTTCCCAATTGTTTTTGTTCAAGTTTATAATACGAACTGAGATGTTTCGAGGTGGATAAGGGGCTGTAAGAGAAAGATACATTTAAAAATTTTTTTCAAGTAATTTTTAAACTCTATTATAGTGAAAGCATAACCTATCAAGTAGAAAGATTTACAAAATAGAGTTCAGTTTAACTACTATATTTCTATGTTCTCATTTATATCAAGAACAATTGTGGTTACCAGTACACATACCTCTAAGATTTTGTGAGTGATAGGCTGACATTTGTATACCACTAGTCACAAGCTAGCATACCACTGGTTACTTTAACTTGTGATATATCATGCTTGTCCAAGTGGTAATTTATGACTTTATGCCTCACTTCTCTAAAATGAAAAAATAGGAGCACAAAATGTGTTTATGAATTATGGAAGCATACTTTTCTAGAAATAGAAAATCATGGAGACACATTGCATGGTCTTTACCTGCAATAGTTTCTACCTATTTTTCAAATAGCAGCTGAAATATCACCTTTTCCATGAAAGTCTAATGAAAGTTAATATTGCCCTCCTTTGGTTTGTTATATAACTTTATACCTTTTTTATAACATTCATTGCATGCTATCTTATAGAACACCTACAGAACACCTACCATTTTTGAGAACAGGGAACCTTTCTCACCAGTCTGTCTTTCTCTCAGCACTTAGAACAACTCTCAGATAAAGGATCTCAATTAATGTTTCTTTACTTGAATTGAGTAATTAAAAATACAAATAAAATATCTTAGATATTGACATGAGTTAAATTACATAGTTTCCTTGTCTTGGCCTAATTAATGAGAATCATGACAACTTACAATTTTGGATAGGAAGGGTCTCAGGGATGATCTCATATAAGCCATTCTCAGTGTTCATATGAATGGACTCTCCAGCATTCCTACTGAGTACTTAGGCACAGACAATTACATTGTCTAATTATATTACACACTTATGTTAATATTGGTAATGGATATTAGTAGGTGCATATTTGTTTTAACCATCTATTCTTTCACCAATCCATCCATCCATTTCTCCATCCATCCATTTACCCATCCATCCATCATCAATGCATCCATCCCATATTAGTATTGAATATTAGTTACACTACTAAAATTGAACACAAGTTTTAGATACATCTGAACCCCAATATTCTCCTTCAATGATCTAAATATCTGTACTCAAACATCTTCCATCTGTTTTTCTGCTATATGTGCATATAGAATAAGTGATGACTACTTGATCAAGTAAGTTATTAAGTTCTAACTTTTTTGTATCACGTATTTTTTAATTTAAAGATTATACATCTATGATTACATTGACATAGTTTAGAGTTTCCTTATTGAATATTTTCCTAGTTTCCTTTTACACTGATAGAAAATTTGTTTTACATTATTTAAATACTTAAAAAAGTTATTTATTTTTAAAATACATTTTTATTGATTTCAGAAAGAGGAAGGGAGAGATAGAAATATTAATGATGAGAGAGAATTATTGATTGGCTGCCTCCAGCACACCCCCTACTGGGAACTGAGGCCACAACCCTGGTATGTTCCCTTGACCAGAATTGAACCTGGGACCCTTTTTTCTGAAGGCTGATGTTCTATCTACTAGCCAAATCAGCTAGTGCTATTTTAGATTATTAAAAAATATATATTTATTTTCTTTCTTAGTTCTGGTATAAAATTTTTCTTAGAATGATAAAAAGTACACATACAACACATAATATAATTGCATTTTTTTCAGTAAATATAAATTTGCAGAACTTACCAGTTCTATGCTGTTTGGGTTCATGACTGACACCACTGTACTCGACGAGAGTACTTTTGTTAAAAGTTGCCTCAGATACCAGCTGAAAGGTGATATTACTATAACATATTCCTGGCAGCCAATGATTAAATACTGTTTTTCCCTTTAAAAAATCTGGAAAAAGAAAGAAATCAATTATACTAAAATATTGGGCTTCTAAATGACACACACTTTTAGGAAGTTCTAATCAAAATAATAAAATATCAATAAATGATATTTCTTTCAACTTCTAGCATGGAAAGTAATAACAATTTGGCATAAGGTTAGAGATGAAAATCTGAATTTTTAGAGTCAGTCCTGAAAAGATTTTTGTGGTCCTGAAAAGATTTTTGTGCAAGAATTAGATATAACTAAAGCTGAATTTTGATCCCAGGAACACTTGGTGTATTAAGTAGAGAACATGTATAGAAGTTGTGGAGATTAGGTGTATATTAACTATTTACTTTGAGATGAAAACTAAAGGTATTTTGCCACTTTATGACTTAGAAAAAAGTAATTTTGCAAGAAATGTTTTCTCTAGGCTCACTTGTAAAAACTAGTGTATTTTAAAAGTAGAATGATTTTATCTGACAGTTACAGACAGAACCTGCTCAAAAAAGGAAAAAAAATAAGAATTTGGATTTAATTTAGAAGATAAAATTAAAGAAAATAACAAATTTAGAAATCCAGTCTAAGTTAGAAAGAAATGAGAGAAAGAAATTAAAAACACCACTAATGAAATTAAAAGCCAAAAATAATTTTAACGTTAATTGAAAAAAGAGACCATATTCACTTATTTTAAAACTCATAGCTTTTAACTCAGCAAAAGTTCCAGTGACTGCTTTTCAACCACTCATGAGCTTGTACTTGCAATGTAATAATAAACAAATAAGGCCCCACTTATTAATTTGCATATCATCTGTTTTCATTGAAAACAAAGAATGCAATAACTTGTGGAATCTATGTTTATGCTTATTTAAATATTTTAAAGTTTTAAAAAACTGAAAAATGCACTGTGTATCTTCTAAACAGTGCCTCATTTAAAAAAGTAAGAATTGTATGGAAGAAAAGAATTTGTAGAAGCAGCAAGTTAAAATGATATCTTTCTGGACACCATGACCTATGTGCTGCAATATGCATTCCTACCTCACCAATACATGTTTCCAGTTACAGCCAGTCAACTTTGACATCATCATTTAAGCCCTGGCAGAGAATTGTAGTTGTTACAGTCTTGCATCCTGAATATATATATATATACACTAATGGCCCAGTGAATAAAATTCGTGCATATTAAAAGGAAATTAGAGGAAATATTTTAATATTGCTATTTGCTCTTTCTCTATAAATAGAAGTATCAGAGATGAAAGAAAGTTAGTAAAATATATATGAATATCTTCCTCCTGTCAGAGTCTGGGGCATGCCTTAGGACCCAGATTCAATATCCCATCCACGGGCATGCACCTCAAAATTGTCTGAGACCCAGACCTGGCTGGCCCCACCCCCATTGGGTAAGATCCAGACCCTGCTAGCCTCACCTTAGTCAAGCCCTGCCAAGTGGGGGGGGGGCACAGCCTCAGGTCCCCCAGTCCAGGGCAGAGGTGGAGAGTGCGGCCTGAGGTCCCCTGTCAAGCCCAGCCAGGCTGGGAGCACAACAGCCTGAGGTTCCCCATCAAGCCCTGATGATGGGGAAGGGAGTGAGGGGGAGAACAGTCTCAGGTTCCTGCTGATCGCTCGTTCCAGGAATCCCACTTCTGCTATGGATGCAACCATCTTGTGATGGCTTTTTACCTCTTTATATATATATATTCAGGACACAAGACTCACCCGAGGATATTTTTCCATTGATTTTTTTTTTTAAGAGAGAGTGGGAGAAAGACAGAGAGAAATATCGATGTGAGAGAAACACATCAATTGGTTGCCTCCTGCACACGCCCAGACCAGGGCTCTGGCTGGGGAGGAACCTGCAACCAAGGTACATGCCCTTGATTGGAAACGAACCCAGGACCCTTTGGTGTGCAAGCGGACTGTCCACTGTGCAAGCTGCCTGTCCACTGTGCAAGCTGGCTCTCCACTGTGCAAGCTGGCTCTCCACTGTGCAAGCTGACTGTCCACTGTGCAAGCTGCCTGTCCACTGTGCAAGCTGACTGTCCACTGTGCAAGCTGCCTGTCCACTGTGCAAGCTGACTGTCCACTGTGCAAGCTGCCTGTCCACTGAGCTAAACTGAATATTAAGTTCCTCCACTTTGATTCACCTCCAGTGAAGCTAAATAGGGCTGGCGCTTGCTCTCTCTCTCTCTCTCTCTCTCTCTCTCTCTCTCTCTCTCTCTCTCCCTCTCCATCCTTTCCCCCACCTCCTAGCCCACCAAAGTCTACGGAGAATTTGGCTTGGTTCCTTTGAAATTATTAATTCCCTTGGGCTCTCTGTTTTCTCTCCTTTCCCCACAGGAAATAAATTCATGTTACCTTTGGCAAGAATAACATGTTATCTTGGCAAGAATAACATATAAGTGACAATAATTTGAGTATTTCTTATGCTTATGCATGAAACATGACTTTAATGGACCAGATATTCTAAATCTCCTCATCACAAGACTGTCATGAGTCAATAACTATTTTAATGATTTAGTTATGGTCAAATAGTGAACTATAAAATATATTTAGAGCAAGAATGAAGACCATTTGGCAAAAATCATGTAAAAAGTAATAATCAATCATCATTTATTTAATCTTCCTTTTGCCTCTTACCTTTATATAACATTGTCCGGAAGTCTTTACCTTCCCAATAGCTTATGTTTACTCTTGTGAAGACATTATATTTTTCTGGATAATGAATTTCAAACAGGACTCCTGTTTCAGGTGAAGGTTTATAGTCATATATTGAAACACTAGTTACAGGGAGAGGTTCTGCAGAAAAAGAGTAAATGAAGAAAAGGGAAATGGGGCAAAAGGGAGAAAGGCCATTATCCATACTTGGGAGTACCAAGGAGTATGCCTACCAAAACTTTAAACACATTTTTATCACCCGTGAGCACAAAATTCCTCAGTCCACATGAGCTGAGTGTTCTCCTTAGCAGTAATTAATAAAGTTCATCTTATAGTGTTTCCTGCCTTTCAAATAACTTTTTTCATATGCCTGAATCTAAGAAGAACAAACAAAACATAAAACTAATAACTCATAACCTTCAATTTACTTGTCAAAGAAAATTTAACAAGTGTGTGGCAGAATCTATACCTCCGGATTCCTACTTCATTTTTCTTTACCCGAAGTCAATTAAATTTGATACTAGTAACAGAGCAGTAATAGAAAATACATTTGACTCTGACCAAGGTTAAATGCTTACATGATCATTTATTTCTTTGTGTAAACTTAGCACTTCTCTTTCTAAGTTGAGTATAAAATTGCAAACCATCCTATGTTATGATAATTAGAGTTGAAGGTGTCTATCAAACTACTCTTTCTATAAAAGTTTTAAGTATGTTTATTCTTATTTTGCTCAAGTTTTTAATCCATCACAAAACTTTTTTAAATACTTACTTTTTAAAACACTATGGTTGGTATATGTCTATATTTTCTCTGCATCCCACCCTTCAGCAAGTCTTATAAAATGATACAGTTCTTCATGCATCTAAGGAACTATTGGGTAATTTTTACTTGAATAAAATTTATTCAAGAAAATTTAAAAAATAACTTGGTTTGTAGTCAACTATTGCATTATAGAGAAGAAAACCACTGGTTCAAAGTTTTAAAAATAGAGAGGAATTTTAGACATAACCTACAAACTAAAGGAAAGCAACAGCCTTAATTTAAATTTTACATTTAAAAAATTTCAGGTTAATTAACATAGGAAACCAAATAAGACTTAGTTCATTTGATAAATAATTTATAGAGTTCCCACTTTGTCTCAGTGTGTAGCTAAATAACTTTCCTTTGGTTCCTCAGGATCTTAACCTGCTTTTGCTTTGCTTTTGATTGAAGAGACTGAAATCACATGTTAAAGGTATGATTTTCCCTGGGATTTTCTTAAAAAACAAGCCAACATCTATAAACACGTGAAGAGGTCGTTAGACTACAGCATGTATTGTGCTCATTTCAATGTAGACAATGAGCTATAGTCTCTGTTAAAATGTTTCTATTTTATCTTTGCCTCCATCCCTGGCCTTCCTACTAAAGGCAGCAGTTACTTCTATGTCATGTAAACAAACAAAAACAGTCTCCCCCCTGAATACTATTTCATGTTGATTAATCCCAAAGAAGTATTGAGCCATCTGAAGGTGTTTCTTTCAACCCAGTCTAATTACTGACCAAGCCCAGCTATTGGCTCTGGATCTGAGAGAAACAAAATGAAAGCTGTCGGCAGAAAGCTGCCCCAGAGTAGTAATGCTTCCATTGCTGCAATCCCATTTCACATCCTCATTGGGCGTCTGTCCACTGAGCAGAGAGGGGGGTCCACTCAGTCTTTCCGGGCCTGAGATATGAAGTCTGCACATCAAAGTACACGCTAACTTTGAAATTCAAGGTGCACATGAGGATTAGAACACAGCTATTTTATTTTGTGATTTGTTTGGCTGCAAGCCACTTGAATTATAAACTAAGAGAATTTTTTAAATGTCCACGTACATGTTGGCTTCTTATATATCTTTTTCCTTTATTAAATCTATTATATTGATTTTTTTTTCAGAGAGGGATAGAGAGTTAGAAACATTGATGAGAGAGAAACATCGACCAGCTGCCTCCTGCACATCCCACACTGGGGATGTGCCCGCAACCAAGATACATGCCCTTGATCGGAATCGAACCCGGGACCCTTGAGTCTGCAGGCCAAAGCTCTATACACTGAGCCAAACCAGTTAGGGCTATATTTTTCCTCAGCTTCAGCATAAGTAACTCAGGTCAGCTGTCTACTCTGAAGTCCACGCCCAGGCATTACTGACCCATATTCAATCCAAGAATTACTGTTTTCCATGGAACTCAAATGCTTTCTTTAAAATATTTTACTATCTCTCATTATGACTAGTATTATTGTTGTTACTAGAGGCCCAGTGCACCAAATTTGTGCATGGGTAGGGTCCCTAGTAGCTGCTGATTGCTGGCCAGGGCCTCCCTTCCCCTGGCTGCCTGCTGCGGCTTCTGACCAGGGCCATCTGGGGAGAGAGGCTATGGGTGGTTGGCCAGCCTGCCCTGGCTGAACTCCTGGTTAAACTCCTGGTTGAGGGGACAATTTGCATATTAGGCTTTTACTAAATAGGATTATTAAAAAGTAATGATATGCCATAAACCAATGCTGCTATTACTGTGTGATTTTTCAGTGATGACAAGATTAAATATTGATTTAATTTATTACTCCTTTCTCTGTAGACACCCTATTACACTCTCATTTCTTGTCTTAGAATCTAGGCTGGACTGGACAGAGAAATAAAGTTTTTAGCCAATATAAAGTATTTTTAATATTTATTTGGTCATAGATTGATGTCTAACCTCTTTGGTAAATTTTTCTAGCTACCCTTCCTGTTATTAAACTTTTTTTTCTCCTTTAATATATTTTATTGATTTTTTTACAGAGAGGAATGAGAGGGATTGAGAGTTAGAAACATCAATGAGAGAGAATCATCCATCAGCTGCCCCTTGCACACCCCCTACTGGGGATGTGCTCACAACCAAGATACATGCCCTTGACGGAATCGTACCTGGGACCTTTTAGTCCACAGGCCGATGCTCTATCCACTGAGCCAAACCGGTTTCGGCAAGCTTTTGATCCTAACTCCTTGCAATTCACAGGTGTATGATGCTATGCATGCTTCCACTCTGCATCTAATTCCCGTTGACTCTGTAACACTTTACATTCTCTGTTAATTTGACAAATTTTCATTACTTTTTCAATGATTGTATGTTTCTGTGGTATCTCCCTAATGTTCTTTAGGAAGTCTAGGTGGGCTTACATCATTCACAGATAGCATTTATCCTATTTTGTAATGGCTTGTTTATTTGTCCTTTCCACTTTAGTAAAGCACCTTTGAGTGTGGGTATTTTTATTGATTTTTATTTCTCTGGCACCTAGGACATGGCATCGAGAGTATAGCAATAAATAAGGTGGAAACTCATGAATTATTTTTATTTATAGCAGATGGATTTGTGTAGAATTTCCTATCTGTAGAGTGTTTGTATGTGTGTTCTGCAGTATTGGCAGCCACTATCTTTAGGACTACTAGCTGAGGAGATATTTCCCCCGTCTCTGAACAATTGTTTTTTTTTTTTTGTATCATTTGATCTATTGAGAAACGGATTCTTCTCTCTAAAGTGGGCACAACATACTGAAAGTTCTCAACCAGTTAAATATTAATCAGATGTCAGAGCCTAAGGGTTGTGAAACTCTTTTGAACTGGCCTAACAATGTGTTTGTGCTAAATTTATTCTTTGCCATGTTTCTCAGCTTTCCTAGAAAGTGCCAGACTCAGAACAACTACAGAGAAATATCAAAGGACTGCCCCAGGGCCAACTGCTTGGTCATTACTTATTTTGTCAAGACAGTAAATGACTACAAAAAAACGGTCTATTTTATTCTCAAGAGCAATGCATCAACTCTATGAGTAGATGCTACAAATGTTTCCTAAACTTTTAAGGAAAGCTTCTCATTAGAAAAAAATAAAGATGGCAAAATTACATCACCAACTAACAAATAGTGATCATTTTAGAGCTCAAAAGTAATCTCAGTCAACATGTATTTGAATTCCCTCTTCTTTTTTTTTTTTTTTGAGGAGAAAGCTGAACCCCAAATCTTACCTCATGTCTAATGTCATAGAAATATTTGTGCATCAATACATAGTTTTTATATTCCCAACCTATGATCCCTTTTGAAATCTGAGATGATGTAATTGAGCCTTTAAGAATGGAGAGACTGAAACCATATTCAGTTTTACTCTTTAGAAATCAATGCCAGTTTCCTCTTCTGCTTAGGATGTAGAAAGCTGCATTTCTCAACACCCAACAACAACAAGAAAAAGCAAAATAATTCGTGAGATCATAACTTTTTAGGTATCTCTCAGAGAGGTAAGATTGCAAGTCAACCAAACAAAGTAAACTGCAGAACCCTCCGAGGACTGAAAGAACACTAGGTTTTACCTAGCTGAGCATGACAGGAGGAGTTCAAGCAGAAAAGAAGTAACTAGGATTTCAATGAATTCATAAGGATGCGTATGTTCTCCACGACAGTGTAGAATTGCTCCATCCAGGAAGTTAGTTACTAGCCCTTTAGGGCTATTTAAATTATACTTATGAAAGAATCCACCAAGATGAAATGAAATTAAGAATTAGTGGTAACTATACTGGATAATGCAGATATAGAACATTCCCATCTCCCCAAAGTTCTAGGACAGCGCTGGTTTAGAATGACAAGGAGTCCCAGACACAAGTTGAGTCCATGGTCTCTCTCCAGCTCTTCTCTCATGGGCCTATATCAGGTGCTCATGAGGAATACTGAGGGCAAGAGAACCACCCCCTGGGGCACAGGCATGCAGATGATGATTGGGCTACTAAAAGATATGGGGGAAACCCTTTCTTCATCCCCAGGACCTTTCTTGAATACAAAACAGAAGCCTTATGGCATTAGGGAGAGGCAGAGAGATCTTTCCCTCCCAGTTTTCAGGCAATGGTACCCCAATTTAAAAGATACCATTTTAAGAGAGGGGCAGAAACTCTCTTGGACTCTTTGTTCATGCATTGATACAGAGTAGAGTTCTGCTACTACCTGGGAGAGGAAGGAAGCTCTCTAACTCAAGACCTTCCCCAGCTTTAAGGCAGACTTTGGCGGTAAGAAGTAGGGATGCTCAGAATGCCATAGAGTCTGCTTAAGCCTGAGGCTGGACCAGAGAACAAATCCTCCCCTGCTCCCACCAAAATCTTAGCCCTTGTAAGAAGCCATCCATTGTTAGGGGAGGGGCAAAATCATGGACCCCTTCTGTGGTGTAGGTGGGTGGGGCTCGCTGAACCCCAAGTCTACAACTGGAGACTGAGAAATCCCCAGGACCACTATTGGCACTCCCTCTGGAGGACTTTGGAGACTAATGCCTTTAACCCTATTCATCTAATGACTGAATTGACTCACCTCCACACTAACAGCTTGGCAATGCGGTAGGGTTAAACTTAACATTGTAAATAATTACATTAAGCATAATGCTCTAAACTTGTATTATCAAAATTGGTAATTGTTACCTATGTAAGGCTATTGAGTGCTCAAAATGAAGCTAGTATAACTGAAAAAGCACATTTAAAATTTTATTTTATTTCATTTTAATTAATTGATGTTTAAAATGGAAAAGTGTTATTTTGTTTTTATATTGATTATGTTAAAATAATATTTTGAATACAATGGATTATATTATATTATTAAAATTAATTTTACCTTTTCAAAAAGTGTTTACTTTTTTCTACCTGAAAATTTATTGCTGTGCAATTAACATCCTATTTTTATAGGATAGTGCTTCAATTAAAAGGCAGAGGCTTTCCAGATTGGAATAAAGCAAGATCCAACTCTATGCAGCCCACAAGAAACTTGCTAACATATAAAGACATAAGTAGGTTGACAGTAAAAGTGAAACAGGTATACCATGACTTAATAAAAGAAAACTGAAAAGACTATATTAATATCAGACAAAATAAACTTCAGCACACACAGCACATTACTTGGGATAAAGAGGGACGTTGCAAACCATGAAATGCTCAGCTCAACAAGGAGACATAATAATCCTAAGTGTTTGCACCTACAACATAACAACAGAGCATCAAAATATGTAAAATATAAACTAAGAGAAATGGGAGGAGAAATAGACAAACCCACAGAGGTAGGTGGAGACTCCCACTCCTTTATCAAGAGTTGTTAGTACAAGTAGACAGAAAATCAAGAAGGATGTAGAAGATTGGAATAGTTAGGTCAACTAAATTGACCTAAGTGCTCACAGCATATACACCAATATTGACCATATTTGAAATCATAAAACAAATCTCAACAAATGTCAAGTAATTGAAACCACACAAGTAATTGATCGCACAGCATTTAAAAAAGAATTGCTAAAAAGATCTCTTCAAAATTGCTAAATTTTTGGTCATTCAATAGCGCACTTCTAAGCCCACATGTCAAAGGTAAAATCACAAAGGAAAATGGAAAATATTTTAAGCAGAACTCCCTGCAGGTGCTAAAATTTCAATGAGATATCCTAGAAATATTCGAACCAAATACTTACTATTAAATTTCTTTATGAGTCATTAGCTGAAGGGTGACTCCTCCAGCTTTGTCCAATCAGAAGTGGCTAAGTGCGTGCTAATGAATGTTGAGTCAACAAGTCCCTATCCTTTTATTTTGTTTTGTATTTTAGTCTTTTTTTCCTGGCTCTTTCTCCTACTGTTTTCTTAACTAAATTGAATTTAGTATTTACTGATCACCTATTAAACATAAGGTTCACACTAGATGCTTATGAAATTGCTAGAGGCCTGGTGCACGAAACTCCTGCATGGTATGGTCCTTAGGACTGGCCTGCGAACAAGGTCAATCAGGTCCTTCCTTCTCCCTGCTGCCAGCTGCCAGCTGCCAGCTGCCAGGTGGGGCCTACTGTGCTGCCCCCTGGTGGTCAGCACATGTCATAGTGGGCAGTCAAATTCCTGGTTGGCCAAACTCCCAAGGGGATAATTTTCATACTAGCTTTTTATTATATAGGATGAACATGAGTAAAACAAAGCTCTTGATTTCAAGGAGTTATATAATATGTATTATATATCTAGATCTGATGTCTGGATCTATTAACTCACAGTTCACCTTTTCTGAAGCTTGTTTAAGACAGCATTTTACCAGACAAATGCTTCCTTTGTTTCAACTAGGTCTTAGATTAGTTCATTATATCTGTAAACCTTGAAGGTCTTGGGTCTGTACCATTCCTAATTTTTAGGACTCATTACGGATCTTGGGACTCTGCCAAGTAAAACTTAAAAAAAAATTTACAGACATGTTAAAAATACGTCCTCTAGCTTGATTCTGAGTTCTTGCTTCTTGGAGTTTCTCTACTTTTCCCAAACAAAAATATCACTGTGTCTTTTTCCTTATCTACTGACAGAATTATCACATGTTTCTGGTATTTTAAATATTGCAGCCACCACCGAAATATTTGCAGTGGAGAGCAAAAAGAACTTTGTTGAGCCATTAAATTACTGTAGTGATAAACTCTACCATATAATATATGTTTTTCCCCCCACACCTTGACATACACAGTAGAATTGCATCTTAATTTGAGATTAGGTATTAAAGTCAGAGTAAAGTCACAAAAAGTTAAAAACAAATCCTAAAAATTTCCTAATATCAGCACTAACTTTTTAAGGCACAGGCTACTGAAAGTTAAAATGCCAATGATTTTTCCCCCTGGCATTTTCTTGGGCCCTGGATGCCAATGCTATTAGGAAGATGAGGTGGGGAATAGTGACCGATAAATAATGATATCTTTTTCTCTCTCTCAGCTAAAAATGTAAAATAGAATTTGAGCAGGCTAACTATGAGAATAAATTAATGTCTCAAAAGCCAAATTGCTTAACATGAGAATAAATGTTATGGAAGACAAATAGCTTAATTATGATCATACTCTTCTGAGTTACATGGTCCAATTATGAATCTAAAATTGTCATTTAGTCTTAAAATATCTCATTAAGGCTTAACTTTCTTTTAGTTTTAAACATTTTTAAAATCAAAATATAATAGTGAAACTTTATCAAACTTCAGCAAGAAACTGTATACTTAATATAAAGCAGAACTTTGAATTTCTGTGATTTGACTTCCCCTGTGCTTGCCATTCTGTGCTGATTTCTCTTTTCATTAGAACCCTGTGAGAATACAGATAAAGAAGAAACTCAAAGGACAATATTACAGTGGAAGCTTACTTGTTAACACAGTGATTGATCTGGATGGCTTGGTAACGGCATGCCCATTTACCACTACCAGAGTGATTATATAATAGAGGCCGTGATAATTGGCCTTAAAGATAACAGGAGGAGGCAGGGTGCTGTTGAACTGCTCAAATTCGAAAAAGTAACTTTTTGATTCACCAGTTATCTTCACAACATACACAGATGATGGGCTTGTGACATCTGAAGCATCTAAAGAGACAGCGATGCTATTTTCATCTTGAACAGTTACGTGGAGTGTTGTAGCATTCTGTTGAAGGAAAGAGAAAACACGGGAATGGAGGTCAAACTCAGATCATTAGCAATAAAAATATGCTGAGATAATTTTCCCAAAATGAATGTGGTCAGCATTACTTTGTAAAATAGAGTTACACCATATACAAGGAAAGGCAGAAGAGAGATTAGCTCTCTTCCTTCTCATGATTTTCTCAGGGTTTTACTTTGAGGGTTCTTTTTCATTGAAAAGCTCCTTTCAGTTCATGGGTCGAGATATGTAACAAACACAAGCTGTACATCATGGAAATGAGTAAATAATGACTGAATAAAATCATCATGGCATTCAACTTCCAGAGAGGCCCTTGTTCTCAGCTCTGCTGGAGGGAGAAATGCTGTGGCAGTTCTAGGAGCATTCTAGAAGAATGTCTCAAGGCAGTGATTTCCTCTCTCCCTTCTCACCTGTCAGTTCTAAATAATAAAAGCCAGTACTGAGACACCTGTGGTAATCCTCCTCATTAAAGGTTAGCCAGTCTTTAAAAATAGAAGCTAAGAAGCTCTTTGAAGAAGAGACCAGATGGAGGATTCACAGCACATATGAGAATGTCGGCAGACAAAGGACTGAAAGCTTTGCTTCAAGTTTCTAGGTAAACATTTATGGACAGCATTTGGAAGAGCATTTGTGTGGTTGGTTTAACTATTTCTTCCTGATTTTTCCCCTAAGCTACACAGGCAGGACCAGTCCTTCAGCTCTATGGTCTTAAGCAAGACTCATACACTTTATACCACTTGCTGCTTTGTTTTGAATTTATCTTCTGGGTATGCAGTAGCCTGAGCTCTGAACTTCCTAGACTTCTATGAACGTGGGACAGAAAAACTGCTGAAACTTGTTAAGGACTTACACAGGCCCAGAAGCTAAGCCAGGCAGTCAAACACAGTCATTTCATTTAGTATTCAAATGGCTTCCTAAGATGGCATTATTATTTTCATTCTTAGCTCCTAGTGGAGGAAATTGAGGCTCAGAAAGATTAAATCACCTGACCAAGATTGCACTTCTTGTTTGAGCTCTTAACCACTGATTTACACAAATCAAAATTGATTTCCATTATTGATCCACATACATGTTTGCCTTCCCCTTTTGACACAATGAGTTTGACACACAGTTTACACTGTTAAGTGTTAGTTAAATGAATGGGGAAAATTGCTAATTGCATTTACTAGAGGTGGGCATTTGCCTCTTAGAATTCATCTACTTATTATTAATTTTGGTACCACACATATTGTCAGAAGACACATCAAGCACATAGTACCTAGCAGTACCATAAAAGAGACTATATAGACCTAAAAAAAAGTCTATTTTTCTTCTTGTTTACTTTTTTTTTTTTTTTTTTAGAAATCTAGTTCTTACAGGTCCTAGTACTTTAAAGAGTATCCTGCCAATAGCAGTTTGATTCTATGTCAACATTTAATAGACTTAATGGTGTTCATGATAGTCTAAAGATCCTAGACCCTAAGTCCTTTAAGGGCAAAGACTGTATCTTATTTCTAGCTGCATATCCAGCTCCAGGACTCAACAGGATTGGCCCACCACTGAGACCATGAACCCCCACACGCATGCATAGATGATGAGTGCCTGGCTTGAAGTTGTCCCCTGACACGTGCTAGGTGCTTTGTGACCTGGGTAATTCTTAACATTTAAAAATGTCCCTTTATCCACACATGGTCTTGCCCTCAGACATATGGGTAGGTTTTTAATATTGAGTTCTATACTTATTAAGGAAGGTCATGATCTCAGAGAGGAAAGGAGAGGGAGAGGTAGAAACATCAATGATGAGGGAGAATCACTGATTGGCTGCCTCCTACACACGCCACACTTGGGATCAGGCCTGCAACCTGGGCATGTGCCCTAACCTGGAATCAAACCATGACTTCCTGGTTCATAGGTCGATATTCAACCACTGAGACACACCAGCTGGGATAGGTGTATTCTTTCTACTTATAGAAACATTTGCTGTAAAACAGTATGCTGTGTAACACCAGCAGCAGCCTCATACACTGTGCTTTATTCACTCTGGCATTGCTTTCTATAGTAACATGCTGTACAGTCTTGTAGCCCAGGAACAATAGGTTATACCACACAGGCTAAGTGTGCACTAGGCTAGACCATCAAGACTGCAGGAGGGCACTCTGATGTTTGCATAGCAACAAAGTTCCCTAATGACATTTATTTCTCCTGCTCGTTTAAGTGGTGCATGACTCCATGGCCAGTGGCCTGGGTGGATTGAGAGGCTAAACCAAGCACTGAATATGCAATAACACGAAGTCTGGCTTTTATGCGTTATTTGTTATAGGAGTTGATTAGCTCAGAAAACAACAAGTTTACAAGCATCGTATTCACATTTATTAAGAACCATTCACTCCATATTTTAATAGGCAATATCTGAAAGTTTTATGATGATGGAAAGAATAGATTCAATTTTATAAAGTGTTTAAGAAATGTATGCCTAATGTCATGATGCTTTGTAGATAATGAATCTTCCAGGGAAAGGAAGCTAATCTCAAATTGAAGGATAGCTTTGGAGATCAGCCGTGAAATCAGCATTGGCTCCTGGCTCCCAGGTTGTTAAAAAAAAAAAAAATCAGGTGGGCTAATCAGGTTCTGTCAGCAGCACTAATGAGAAGAAGGCAGCAGGCCAAGTGCAATCTAGGCATTGGGCCTAAAAGAAATGTCATCATACTATTTCTTCTCTGGCCTCTTTGCTTCAGCTTTTCCTAGAATCTATATTTAGAATACAATTCTGAATATATACTTCATGCACGTAATCCCTGCTGAGATGTAGAGCAAGAAGGAAGAATTAAAAGTAACAGAAATGGATCTGACAAACTTAGGCAAGGCCAACACTGATTTATTTGGTAAATTAAAAAATATATATTTAAAATGTTTTCCCCCAGCCTGAGACTGAGTAATAGTATTATTGCTTGACTCTAGAGTGAAAATAGTTTCACTAAAATTTCCTTTGCATAACAAATTTTAATATAGAAATTTCTCCGGTCCAATACCCTCATTTCACACTCGAGAGGACAGTGGTGCAAATTAATGTCAGGACAAGGTCTGGGATCCACATGTCATTGGTACAACTCTTTCCTGAACTGTTTGAGGCAGTGAGAAGGGCCAGGGTGCCTGGCTGCAGTGGAGGAGGAGGAGCCAGGAGCTTGTTCCATAGTCTGGAGACTACCGAAGCTACTGAGATAGAGTGGGCAGCACTTAAGAAGAGAAAAATGCAGGATGAGTTCCTAGAATGTGGGACAAGGAAGAGGACAGGCCACAAATACATAACAGTCAGAAATCCTAGGAAGTCCTCCAACATCCCTGGCAAATTTGATGACTATTATCTATCGCCTAGAGGCCCAGTGCACTAAATGGTGCATAGGCAGGGTCCCTAGCAGCTGCTGACTACAGTCAGGGCTTTCTCCTGCGTCAACTCCGGCTGCCAGCTGCCAGCTGCCGGCTGGGGTCTTCCTTCTGGTGGTCAGTGCATGTCATTGAGAGTGATTGAACTTCTGGTCAGTTGAACTCCCAAAAGGACACTTTGCATATTAGGCTTTTATATATATAGATAACCAATCTGAACCAGGCTTTGCACTGCAAATTTTATGTGTGTGTTTTTTTCTTTTATTCCTCATAATAGTCGTCAGACATGAGAGTTACTTTCCCCATTTTATTCATAGAAATTAAATAATGCACTTAAGAACACAGCAGTAAATTTGGTATCAGAGAGCCCGAGTTTCTATTTCTTTTCTGCAATTATACCTATTACCTGTGAGAGCTTGGGGAAGCCCAAGGACCTCCTAACTTCATCTTCTTAATTTATGAAAGGATGGTAATTCCTGTAACTCATGGGGTTTTTGTAAAGATTTAATGGCTTTTATAAAAATGATAACAGTATGAAATCAATATGTATTAGTTGTATTTCAAAGGTTATTATTTTAGTGAAGTCTCAAATCACTTAATGACTTTTTAATTAGGGATGTTGTATACACTTTCATTGAACTAACTTCAAAACTCTATGAGATTCTTAATTATGTCCACTGGATATTTTATTCACCCAACATTGGAAAGCTATCCACTTGTTAATTCAATAAGGAACCGGCATTAGCTAAGTGCTAATTAGTGGGAAGGAGCATTCTCCTCTAGTTTCAAGTATGAACAGATGCCAAGCTGGAGACACCAGTATCTATCATTTCTACCTCATGAAAATTAGCTACTGGAGGGAGAGGACATGGTCTCCATCATTCTAAGGCCCAGCCACTGTGCAGTATGGGGACATAAGTGAATAAATCTTGGTTTATGGGTTAAGTTTTTGAAGCTGGACTTTCAAACATTCAGCCAAAGATGCTGGTCAGTACAAGAGAATTTTTCAGTGCTGTAGACATAAAGAGAAGGAAACAATTAATTCTGCTTCTGCAGATGGGCCTGAGGGAAGGCTTCAGAGTGGAAGTAATGCTTGAAAAATAGTCAGGAGTTTCCCAGGGGAACAAAGATCAGGAAAGTAATCTGGAGGAGGGAGGAGAGATCCCACAGTCCTCTGGAAGGGCTGGATAGTGGTACGATGCTCAGAGGAAAGGGTTGATAGCCCTGTCCATGATGTGCCTAGTTAAGGAATTTGGATATTGTTTTAGGCCAAAAAAAATCATAAATTTTTTCAAAGCAGAAAAGTGACATGATTAGATAGGTCAAAGTTTAGAAAGAGCAATATAATTAGGAGTATGGACCAGTGGAGCTAGGAATTTGTGGGCTGGGTCCATCGAAGGCCAGGAGACAGTAAGGAGGCCTTGGAACAATTCAGGCGAGACATGATGAGAGCCCGAGCAAGTGCTGGGTGCACCAAACCTGCCTACATGACGTGCCTCTAGAACATTACCAATGCTCCAGTTGGCAACCCAATCAATGATTAGACTTATTAGAGGGCATTTCAGAAGGAACACTTAGAAAACTCTGCTGTGCTAAAGTTACCACATAAGATGTAATGGGATGCT